CAATAAAATAATAACAAATTGTTTTAAAAGCTGTAAAGTTAAAAGAATGGGGAAAAAAAACAGAATAAATACTGGCAGTCCTAAAGTCTTAACCCAGTTATATTAAAATACAGAACCGATGTACAGCAAGACTCTGATGGTCTTAGGAAGAGAGTTCTGCAGCTTTTTGGTTATTGCAGCAAGGGGTCCTGATCTGAGGACACGGAAAAGTCTCTCGTTTCTGGCAGGAGTGCGTGCTCTGAGCTTGAGCACCGGGCATTGCTCGTTAATTCACGAACCGGGCAGCTGATGGCACTGCCCGCTAGTGACTTCCTGTTGCGGCCGTGTGTGCAGATGGCATTGATACAGGCAGACCTGTCAGTGTACTTATAGAATGACTTCACAAGGACATCTCAGTTTGCATTTAATGTATGTTATCTACTGAATAAAATATACTTTTCTGATAAAAAGGAAAGCCTTTTTTTAAATTTCACTCCCATAAGTTGCCAATGACTTTCTTTAGAGATTACATCCTGTCGTTCGGGGTTGTCATTACCACATGTGACCGCTAGGTGTCCGCAGAACCTTAACATAAAAATGATTTTTTTTTGTCGCTGGCTTCAAAATCAGACTTTGATATCTGAGTGGGGAGCTTTGTCAGCATCTCTTGTCTGAAAAAGGACCATTAGACCTCTGCTGCCCTAATTAGTAAAAGTAAAAAAGACTCAACTGCTGAAACAGTTTATTTTTCTGAAACAGTTTACTTTTCAGCATTGAATATTTGATGTTTCGGATATTCATTTTAAATTTGAAATCTTTTTTTTTTTTTGCTGCTGTGTGTGTTTGTGTGCCATATTAAACAGCCGAACCGAAATCAGGGTGTAAAAAACGGAAACATTTTTGTTTTGCACTCTCCCAGGTATCGTCTTGGGGACGTGGTGAGAGTGGTCGGATTCCACAATCAGTGCCCAGTGGTAGAATTTCAGTACAGGTGCGTTGTTCTCCATTCCTCTTTATTTTACCCTTCAAGTAGTCAAATTGTCCATCTTTTATTTCAAAATGGGAAATTTAAATAAAACCTTTTGAACAGATGCTTAATTAAAATTAAATTTCATATTTTTTTCCTTAATTTTTAATTAAGAATTGCCATTGATTGGCATTGTTGGTATGTTACCCCTCTAGTCTGGAGTCTTTCAATTAAACACCCACTCGGTGTGGCCACCCAGGCAGCTTTTGCTGAACCAGCATTATTTTAAAACACGTTACCTTGTACATGGGTTTTTATATTTATCTGTGTATCCTGTGTGCTGTTGTTCTGTTATTTGTAACAAATTGTGAGAGATCCAAAGGAGCTATATAAACTTAGTATTCTAATTATGAAAAAAAGAGTGGCAGCATGTAATAAAAACTGAAAAATCACAGTTTGAAAGTGTGCCCCGTCGTCTGGATTCCCATGAAAACGAGATCAGGTTTCCGAAGTCAACAGGATGTCTTTGTGGGAAGGCTATGAGTCACTGCTTGCAAAGTCCAAGACAAATCACTCTTCAATGGCTTCATGCATCTCCACTGTCAGGGCGCTGGGGGTGTTACTGGGGTAACGTGGGGATTCGGAAGGGAAAGATGTTGGTGGGAGACTGCAGCGTGTGTTGCCTGTTTGTCCTCTGCGCAGACGCGGACAGATGTTGAGTGTGAGAGGGGAGAAGGTGTCCGAGGAGCTGTTTTACGGCGCCCTGCAGCGCGCGGTCAGTCTCTGGCCAGGAGCCGAGCTCGTCGACTACTGCTGTGCGGAGAGCGGCATTCTGGGTAAGCCGGCCCCAGCCGACATCGGCCTGTTGTCCATGTCCGCGTGTGGTGGAGGAGCTCGTTGTGACGTGGGTGTGTAGCCCAGGTCATTCTGCAGTTTTTGCCTTCCACAGCCTGATTCTGTCTGCTGCTCTGCATCCCTGACGTACTTTAGAGGGCCCGTAGAGCTGTGCTGAAATTGATGTAGTTTCTGCAGGGCAGTAATCAATGCACACCAGCTGCCAGAGTACACAGTGCTCTCCTGTGAGAAACAACAGGGCAATTTTAAATGTCTTTACTGTTTTCTCAGTGTTGTCTCAAACGTGTTCTTGCATGTGAATGGGTTTGCCAGATTCCATAGCGTCTTTAGAGCCGATGGATTGCCATTGTAATATTTGAAGAGTTCATATACTCCTGTCAATATAATATTACATGCGTTATCGTGACAAGTAAGTAAAGATGTTTCATGTAAAAATGATTAAACAGTAGGGTGGCACAGTAGAGCAGTGGTTAGCATTGTCATGTGCAGTGCTGGGGCCCTGGGTTCAGTTCCTGGGGTGCTGTCTGTGTGGAGTTTGCATGTTCTCCCCATGTTGGCATGGTTTTCCTCTGGGTGCTCTGGTTTCCTCCCGCAGTCCAAAGACATGCTACTAGGTTAACTTGCTTCTGGGAAAACTGCCTCTGGTGTGAGTGTGTGCGTATCTGTGTCTCTTTGTCCCCTGTGACTGGATGAGCACTTTAAATTGGTTTATTTCATCCATTGGTTCGTTCCAGTGGTGGAAGAACTGACTCCACCTGCTGGGAGACAGGTTGTCGCAGTGCTGTATGTCACACAGCTTTTGGAGGGGTGGGATACAGATTTAACCAGGCATCGATATGCCTGTGAGCTTCACTGTTTTCCCACAGTCGTCGGCCACCCCTGTGGTTTGGTACATCGGAAACCAAAAAATAAGTTACATGCTAAATGATGTTTCAGAACTGTGTCTTGACTCCAGAAAGGTCAGGTTAGCTGTTAGCTGGAGGCAGTTTCAGGGGGTTCTGTAAGGATCCGTTCCGCACTGAAGGTGTTTCTGTTCCTTGTTGTAGGACATTTCTCCGGAGGCTCGGATCCCCACTACCAGGTGTTCCTGGAGCTAAGAGGGGTGAGGAATCTGTCTGAGGAGCAGCGCTACAAGGTGGGTGAGACACAGCCATGTGGAGCCTGATGAGCCTTGTTATTGTACCCTGAGTAATAGTAAATGCTAGAAAATAATGAAAGAGGTAGTTATATAGTAATACAGTTTTCATTCTGAATGCTCTCCAATAAACTCAGAGTGTTCTACAATAACATGATCAATTCAAAAATTTAAAAGTGAAAGAAATTAAAAGTACATCCTGTCTGTGGGATCGGCCTCCGTCCTGGCTCGGTCACATTCCATAACACGCCGCCCTTCAGAGGAAAACAGCACCATCGTCTTTTTTTTCTTCCTTGATGCTTCCCTGTCCACAGAGTGTGAACAAGTAAAGTGGACGAACCTGACAGCCGGTTAATCGGAAGTGAAGCGATCTGGTGGTCAACGGTCTCCGTTTGAAAGCCCTGCCCCTGGGTGTAAAACATATCGACAGTGCAGCTGTAACATGGAGTAATAGAAAGTGTGGGAAAAAGACACTGAAGAGCTCTAGAGCGCCATGGTGAGGCAGTGATCGGCATGGCTGCCTTGCAGAGCTGGATTCCTGGCGTCAACTCCTGGAGTGCTGTCTGTGTGGAGTTTGCATGTTCTCCCTGCGTTTGCATGGGTTTCGTCCCACAGTCCACAGTTTTTACTTCTCTCAGAAGCTCCGCTGTGACCCCAGCGGTATGGTCTTTTTTTCCTACCCTTCCACAGCCGCGTGGGAATGCGGCGCCTGCGTTGGCGGCTGCAGCCGAGCCGAAATCCGGTGATCAGTGAGAGAGCCGTGCCAGAGCTGGGGCGCCTTTTCTTTCCCAGCTCCCCCGAGCGCATCTACAATTCCATTTCCCCAAGCGTTGGAACAGCGTCCCTGCTCCTTAGGGCTTATTATTTCTTTTTCTTTTCCTTTCAGCTCACTGAACGAATATTTGTTTAGTTTCCTCTGCTCACTGAAACTCGCCTCCTGCACCAGTGTCTCTGGTTATCCCAGAAAGACATCGCCGCATTTTTACAGAGAGCGGGTACCGCGTGAATGCAAGGGGCTCTGAAAATCGTCCAGTCTGGGCATCCAGACGTGGGGCACGTCGGAGCCTGGCATGGTGGGAGAGAGCGAGCTCCCTGCTGCCATGGGATGGGCCAGAAAGGAGGAAACAGAAGACGGTTTCACTCTGGTTCACTTCCTGTCACAGGATGCCACACGAGCAGAGATCGAAAAAAGCAGACTCGGAGAACCTTGATTTCGAGATACCGAGAGACGCTTTATCAGGGGTCACAGAGATATTTCCCTTCTGGCAAACCCTGATCAGTGTCAACATCAAGCGAGCGGAGGTGTTTACGAAGAGCTATTGGTGTGCGTCTCTATTAACTGTGGTGTGGCTGTGGTTCATCAAGGGTTACTGATGGGTCAAGTCAGTTTTTATCCAACGATTTGCTTTCATGTTGAGGTGTGCTCTCCCTCCTTGTTTTGCAGCTCAAACCCCTCCCTGCTTTTATTTATCAAAGTTAAGTTTTTTTTTAATACAAGTCTGTTTTAACGGTAAGAAAATATTTATAAAAAAGGATCTTTTGAGAGCCATCCTTGTGACTGCTCTCCTAAGTGCAGACGGCAAGAGCCCCCAACTACTTCAGCAGGAGTCTTCCCGAAGGCGTGAAGCCTCCAGCCAGAAGACAACAGCGGTTGGCAGGCTCAGAAAGCCTTTTTTTAAGGCAAAGTTTCCCCAAAATGAAGTCAGTCCAGCTTTCCTGAGCCAAGCTGTCGCCTTCTGCTGTGCGTGAGCCGCTGAAGCATTCAGTTTGCGAAGACTGTGGCATGCTCTTAAAACGTTTCCAATCTGGGCTTCCAAGCCTTTGTTTAGTTCAGCAGGCCGGATGCAGAAATAAACACTTCAAGGAAAAAGGGTGTTACAGTATGTGTGCCAAAGATTTTTATGAGTGTGAGTCAAGACTTTTTCCCCTTTTTTGCTTTGTTTAGAGTTCTTAAGCTGTCCAGCGGTCTGTATGGTTGAGGCCTGACTTTCACATCTTGGTTCTCTCCACTGCTTATTTTAGGCTACAGAGAGGCAGGCAGACAGGAGAGAGGCTTTTAAAAACCACCACTTGTCTGAATTATTTCTGAGGATGCATTATGCATGGGGGGGTGGGGAGAGAAAACCAGCATCTTGCGGCGTGCTCTCCCCGTAACAGCCCTGTCTCTGTCTCGTCCCCAGCTGGATCACTGTCTCCAGGAAGACTCCGCCATCTATAAATCATTCAGGTTCAAAGGCAGCATCGGGCCAATGAGGGTGCAGCTGGTGAGGGGCGGGGCTTTCCAGGAGCTGCGGAGTCACATGCTAGCGTCCTCGCAGGCCTGCCCCAACACATTCAAAATGCACCGCGTCCTGCGCAGGAAGGAGTTCGTGCAGTTCATCCAGGGAAGGATCATCTCCTGATTGGACAGGCGGTGGGACAAACTCCCCTGCTTGGCCCGAGCTCCTCTTGTCAGCGAGCTCGACTTGGCGTTTGTTGTCCCTGCAGCACGGAGAGACGCAAGCCTTTCCTTTTTCATAATGATCAGACTTTGTGCCACTGAAGGTGTCATCTAATGCCTTTTTTTATTGATCAGTCACCTTTTATCCTGGATTTGTAAGGTGATGCAGTCACTCATTAAAAAAACAACCCAGAGGATTCGGTTAAATTCCGGTTATTTTTATATAGCGCCTTTCACAACAAGGTTGCCCACAGGCACTGAACAAGGCTGTGTGACAATACTTGACGTTGCAATACAGAAAGAGAAAAAGCCAGAAGACAACGGAGGAGAGGAGCCAAAAACTCCTCTGTAAGGAGAAAGAAAACCTCTGGGGGTCCAAGGTCAACTGGCTGCCCAACCCCTCTGGGCATGCTGACATTATACACTTCTAAAAACAAGTACTACGTGTGGAGTATTAAGCCTTCCATCATGTGCTTCTGTGTGCCAGTACTCCATGCAGATCTCTGTAGACCAGTAAATCAAGCCCCTTTACCACAGTGGCCTGTCTGCTGTCGTCTTCCCATGAGATAGCCAGTATAAGATTGGTATTGACAATTGCTTAATTGGTTATGTTTTTGCTTTAAATTCTTTAAGTCCTCCATTTCTTCAATGTTAGAATTCCTTCCTTCATTCCAGAGCCCAGAGCCTGGAGCCTGTGTCTGCAGTTGTCTTGACCCGTACAGTCGGTTGTCACGCAGGCTGAAGGGGAACTGATAGCCGTGCCACAGAGATGGGTAGTGTGGCCAGCAGTGTTTTCAGGAAGGGGAGAGAACAAGTTTGAGAGTCGTCTTCTAGCATAACGGTTGTCAACACCACAGTGATCTGAAGATTCTGGTCCAGTTGGGCTTCTCCCACACATCTGGACAGTGTGGGGCCCTGGTCACCCAGCGCTCTGTCTTCTACAGCTGTCCTCTGGAACCCGTCAAATAACCAAAGATGAAAAAGGCCTGGATCAACCACAATCCAGCGTTAAATGCCGTGGCGGTTTAAAAGTTTTCTTGATGGATCAGTGTTTCGTTTGTTGAACAAGTTTTAACCGGCTGCTCTTTGTGCAATGTTAATGAACAGTCTGGTCTCTCTCTTGGAAAAGAATTTGAGCTCCTGGGTTTACTGGACCTGTTTCAGTGTGCAGTGCCTGGGATTTACAGTGCTGATTAACCAGTGCAAGTCAGATAATAACCCCAGTCACGTCCTGTTTGGGTATTTTTGGAAGCGTACCGCAGTGTACGCTGACTCATAACGTAACTTGTTCTGTTGACGAGAAGCACTTTGCTGCTGAAGTCACCAACAGAAAGCACTGGGTGTTTTCTACAAGGGCACCTCTGAACTCGGGTGACCTGGGTGTCAAGTGTAAGTGTTTTTACACAGGCAGCTTCCTTCCTGCCAAGTTTGCAGATTCCGTTGTGTTTTGAAGGTGTTGTTGGAGATTTACTGCCTTTATCTCCTTCAGTCCTGCTGCAGAGCACAGAGAACGCAGCCGGGTCATGAGCCTGTGTTGGAACCACAATCACGAGGGGAACTAGCAAAACCAGTGACTCTTCATCATTTCCACTTCTAATCATTACTCATCCTCTTAATTACCAGCTCCTCACCTGTACCCTCTGCCGGTGTGGAGTGGTGAGCATCATTAGTTGCTAATGGTGACATTAGTTTAAAATGAGTTGTTCACACCCGAGGACTAAACTGTAATATCAAGTATACTGTATTTCTGTGCATTTCTGCTGCTTATGTTTTCTAACTCTACAAATTCAAAATAAATGTCCCCAGGTACATGCAGTACCTGACTAAGATTCGGCAGGTGACTTTGTAAGCACAATCTGCAAATGTATTTACTATGCATGCCCATCTCAAAATTCTTTTTAACTTTTCTCCAGAAAATAACAAAATAGCTGGACATTGTTTAAATAATTGCTTTCATTAAAACCCCGAATACTTCAGCCATTCATTTGTAAACGAGGAGAATTTGAAAAGAAACGCCTGCAGCGTTAGGGAAAAAAAACCCCATTAGAACTGAATGCAAAGTATGGAATGAATGTCCGCTGGGGGACGGCTGGGGGATCGCCCCCGCTGCAGTCGGTCCTGTTCTTAGCTAACCTTTCATGATGAGATCTGTTTGGCGACAGCACAGAGATTGGCTGTCTGCAAGACCGCTCCTGCCAAAATCACCCGGTTACAAGTTCTGGTGTTCAAGAGAGACGATCACACATGGGGACAAAGCGTGAAAGCGCAAGAATTGGCAAGTCCTACGGATTTTTATGTCGGCTTTTTGCGCTTTGAAATGCAGGGAAAATGTTGTTTAACATAAATGCTAAACAGAATATTGCAAGTGCCTCGGGGAGAGTCTTCAACAGCACATACCGAGAGCATTACATAACTTTAACTGCCGTGCGCCAGCGAGCAAGGTGCCTTATCAACCCCGTCTGAGCGCTCTTCATGTGCCCCACGTTTTCACATTCAACGTTTCTGGAGTTCAGAGCCTCTGATGTGAGAGACAGGCGGCGAGCTGTGAAAACATTCCCGTCGTCTTCGCGAAGAGACGCCGGACTGCGACAGCGGGTTTTTTCTCCCCGCTCACTTGACTACCCCGCTTCAAATGTTAAACGAGAGAAGATGAACGTCGTGGCGTTGCCTTCTGTATAAAAACATAACGGCCTCAAAATATTTCATTTCGGCCTGTGCAGCGCTTTTCGTCCTCAAGGACGCCAAAACGCTTCTCCTATAGAAGGGGATCCAATTTATCACTTCACACACCTGGGTAGCGCCCAGCAGCAATTACACCCTAACAACACCACTCAGGCAGTGGAGACAAGTTCCAAAATGAACAGCAGGGCTCCTCTAATTTTCTCTTTTTTCCCCACCAGCGTCAAATGCTGATTGTGTTTATATCGCATACCTACAGAAACCTTTAAAGCACCTGGGCGAAATGAGGTAGTCACCGCTAGAGGGCACTGTTGATAGCTTTCTAGGAACACCCTGATTTTTGACTGACATCAAAGTATTAATTTGCTGACTATAAGATTGTTTCTGATGTTTATCCCTTTTTTTTAACTGTCTGTTGTCCACGGTTTAAAAATGTAAAAATAAGCATGGTAAATTAGAAAAGCTTCGAGTTTGAGCGTTGACGGCATTCACTATGTAAATTCCCCTCGGGACAATACCGAGCTCAGAACGTGTAAATAATTAATAAACAGTCGAGAAAGAACTACCAGTACTTATTTTTTTTTCTGCTTAACAACAGTGTGGGCGATGTTATGTAAAAATCTGTTGCCCACGTTGTGATCATGTATTACAAAGAGGATACTATCTATTTTTCAAACAATATGCATAGATTAGGTCACAACCCTCGCTCTGACAAGCGGGCCAAGAGTGCCTGTGTGCTTAGATTAGCTTGGTAAAATCATATTATTCGACGTCTTTAAACAGCAATTTACTCCATAAACCATGTTTTTCAGTTTTATTTAGAATTAATGGAGTACAGTTCTTTCCTGGTTTAGATTAACTGAAGAGTTCATTTCTGAGCCTATGCAGATATGCAAATACAGTCATTTACCTATATTTATGTATTCCTTTTAATATTTCCTGTGTGCATTAAAGAGCTGGATTTTTAAATACCGTAGTCCATATAAAAATACCAACAATAAGTTTGGGGGAAACCTAAAGGGTGAAGTGTAAATATTGTTTTTATTTAGAAGAAGGAAAATATGCCTTCTCAAAAAACAGCTGTTCGAGAATGTAAGTATTTTATAGTCTTATAATTTATAGTCTTTTATAGTATTTTAACTCTTGCTGAAATCATTGTACATCTTAAGAAGCCTCACAAACAAAATAAAATAGGAATAAATGTGCTGGAATCACAGTGAATTTAGCACGGAGACCCAACATCAACCCAAAAAGACCACAAATGATTTTGTTGCATGACCCTTGTATAGAATTTATCTCAGCTCATTCCGGGGCCACTTTACCAGAAATTGCGGACTTTCAATCTATCTGTTGGCTAAATGTTATCTTGCATTAAAAAAAAAAACCCACAAAGTATAAAAAGGGTTGGCAGTTATTGCCCTACTCATCAGGCTCGTTCACTTAATGCTCCTCGCGTACAGGGGGGGTTTAAACGTGCGCTTGTCTCCATTCCCCAATGCACAGGATGCAACCCGAGCCAGAAAGGTTGCCGTGCGCGGACCAGGAGGGGGAGAGAGAGACACACAGGAGCGCTTTGTAAATACCCGCATCTCGGGGAAGCACGTGGAGACGGGGAACTGCTGCTGCGCTCGCTCGCTCGCCGGCGCTCACACGCGCACTGCAAGGCACCGGCTGCGGCTCGCATCAGCCCAAGCGAAGCGCGCTCAGGGAGAGATCCGATCGTCACGCCGCCGTGTCGCTTTGCAGCCAGCGAGGAAATCGCCGCCGGTGTTCCCTTCAGACCGGGGCTTGCCGCCCCTGAAAGATCCCAGGGACCGACCTTTCCTCAGCAGAAGAGGACAGCAGGAGTTGGTTGGAAGTACTCGCCGGGTCCGAGCGGAGCATCCTGCGCACGTACAGCCGCACGCTGCGTCCTTGGCTTAGAGTCGATCTTATTTTTGAGCGCAGTTGTTTGTTTGGTTTTTTTTTTGGATGGTTTCTTTTTGTTTCTTTCACCAGAAGCCTCAAATAAAACACCGGTGGGAGAGCCGTGGTACACCGCGCTGTGGTAGCGGCTGCACGATGTTCCGTGCTGGTTTGTGATGTTGGGATGATGGCGGAGGGACAGGCTGCAGAAACTGGATCGGGACCTTCGCTTAATCCCGCGACGGTGCCGGGGGCTGCCGCGCCAGAACTAACCGGGCTGAGCAGCGACACCGCGCTGCCTTCGTCCAGCGGCCGGGCGTTCCTGGACGTGGCGGCGGCGGCGGCGGCCGTGGTCAGTGCCCAGCCGGTGGTCGGAGCCGAGGTCTTATTCGCTAATGGGAGGTACAGAGAGCACGGGAGTCCCAGGACTGGGCTCGGCAGCCGGGATCACTCCGCCGAGCGGATCCAGGTTGGAGCGCACCCGCCTTGCAGCATCATGAAGGTTAGTTTTTAATCCTTTAAACCGGCGCCGTCGGGATCGTGCGAACGCAACTCGGGCTGCGCACACGCCCCAGACCCTCTCGGAGCGCAAGGTTAGAAACAGAACAGAAGACGTGTTTGGATGTATTTTTAATCGGCTTGCCGACGTGTTTGAAGTTTGTGGTGGCTGAGCAGTTTCATTTCGGCTGAAGGCTACGCTTGGGGGTTCTCCGGCTTAGCAGTGCTTGCTGAGACGTGCTTGTGCTATCACTAATTAGTTGCATGCCTGAAACAGTTAACGGCAATTAACTGGGGCTAAAAATCTAACATTTGTTAAGCTGTGTCATGTTTATCGGGAAAAGGCTACTCCGCGGGTACGTTTATCTCAAGTTCTATATATAGCAGTTTTAGGTCATGTTGTAAGCTTTACCACGCGTTGCTAATCGAGAAGATATTTTTGCAGTTCTAATTATAAGCTGATTCTGGCAGGACGTTAGTGTCGGTCCTGCCCTTCTTGACGAGGCTGAGAGCGGCACGCGGTGACGCACGCTCGCCACAGTTTAGGCACGAGAGTTGAGGGGCTTAACTGGCCCACAGGAACACGCCAGCCTTGCAAGACGCAGGCAGGATCGGGGCTGAACTTGTGCAGGCACGTCGGTACAGGATTAACTACCCAAACCCTCCGGCTACATCTCAGTCGAGATCTGCTCTCGGCGTCCTGTGGTATTTCCGTAGCTTAGTCACTTCGGGGAGGGGAGATAGGGACATGTTCTGGTTCACGTGTTTTAAATTTGCACTAACTACAAATCAAGAAAGGTGAGAACAGGAGGAGATGAGGAAAGAGCCAGATCGAGCGGACATGCACTCAGATTTGAGTACGGAGCCGTTGCGCGTCCTCCCTAAACAACCGGCCGTTGCTCAGTGTTAGGAGGTTGAGCTGTACGGTTGTGTCATGTGGTCAGTGTGACCTCAGGGGACCCCAGGGGGGTGGCCAATCAGTGGTGTAGAGGACTAAGCACCTGGACGAAGGCCTTGAATGAGATGTGAGAGCTGGTGGGGTGTCCAGTGTGCAGACTTGGGCTGTGGAATAATGTTTCCTTGTAGTGAGTCCAGGAGGACCTGGAGCATGCAAACAGAGCAGGGGGTTTTAGTCATTGGAGAGCATCTGATGACAGGAGGAGGAGGAGAAGGTGAGGCATTCTAGTCATGTTTTGGAGGTTGGTAGAAATCCAGTACCAACGTGCTGTAGCAAAGGTTAAATACCTCCCAGGTTTCCTGCTAGAGAGCACTATACATGGTAAGGGAGGGAGAGCTGTTTCGGGAAGTTTGGGTTTTTAATTATTTTGTGGGAACTCTGCCTTTCTGGCTGAAAGTACATTCCTGGTTGTCTGGGGGTCGTTGCCTAAGCCTGCAGAGACAGTGGAGTTAACAGGAATGCTTCAAGGCATTTTCAGTGTGCCAGATTTTCAGCATCGCACCCTCAAGGGAAAACGTAGAGTATTTTCCGACCGGAAAACCAAAACGTTATATCCTACTGTGAAGCAAATGGCCCTCCTGTTGCACGCTGGCGTTATGCTTGCTTCAAGGCTTATACACGTCAACACCAGGTGGTCCACCTTGTCGCCTTCGTTTCAGTGATTCTGTAGGAACAGATGTCTGACGTTTATCATATTAAACATCATTTTTCTGCTTCACTAGAGCAGTTTCAACAAGAGCTGTATCACTCCTAAAACACGCAAAGGATCAAATGGCTGTATGTAGGAACTGTGAGTTTGCTTTCTGTATTAGGAAATAAAAACCCATTCTTATGGGACAAAATAAATAATTCTGAACCACCTGCTGAAAGAGCTGGACAAACGAAACCCCTAAATGCATCAGTGTGCAGAAACATCACCCGTGTGAAATTATTAACTAATAATGAAGATGGTACATATGAGACATGTATGTATCCCCAGACAGACATTATTAGAACGTGCAGATAATGATGCTCATCTCCAAATGTAGCTAAAAAAATGGCAAAGTGCATCTCCTACAAAAGGAGTAGATCCAGGTGTTAAATCGGGATTTTCGGGGTTTATTTTGTGTTTGCCAAAGTATAGAGAAAATAAAGACGTTTGTACTGTAATGCAGCCTCTTCGACAGTTCTAGCACATGGGGTTGGTTAAGGCTGGCCCAGAGATCTGCTGCAGTCAGGGGTATTTGTTTTTATCTGTAGATTTCTTTCTGGTTACTTTTACCTTCTTGGAATTTGTCGACACTCGGACCCAGAGAAATTCCTTGTATATCATCTACTTGGCAAATAAAAGTTTCTGATTCTGAATCTGCTTTGGCCCTGTTTGTGTTTGCGAGGTCTAAAAGGCATTAGATGCTAGCGCTGCTCATTGTGGTTAGGGTTGTGCGTAGTTGTGCACTCATACTGGGAGCTGTGGCCCAGTAGTTTCAGCTGGCGGAGGAGGAAGTACTTCAGTATCTGAGGATGGGAACAGTGGTGATAACGTCCTGAGCCCGGGGTGGTGGTGATTTTGAATCTGCATCTTGCCCTGTGTGTCTGCTGTTAGTGCCCGTGTTCAGGGCTGTTAACCCCTGAACACTGGTTCCACCATGGGTTTGCACAAACTGGCTTCCCGACAGTCCCCGTAGATCTAGGTGGTGAAGCATGTTCTTATTCCTCCTGCTCTTCTGTTGTGTAGCTGTTGTGTGCTGCTTTTCGGTATGAATGTTGTGGTTCTTCTCCTGTACTGTATGTGAAATGTTTTGGGATCCTTTGGAATGAAAAGCGCTATATAAATCTATATCCTTGACAATATATAAAAATGTTTTGGATATCGATGTATACTAAGATATTTTTGTAGTGTACAAAGTCGATCTTCACAAGGTTGTGTGAGAGCATATAGGCTGTGGAGTCTGATTGAGACATTTTTGATGCTGTCTTGACAGTGGTAATGTGTGAGAGGCCACATCAACCACAATTGGGCTTTTCACTTGAACTGCATATTTAGAAGGTGTCTAATAGACAGTTGTGTTGTAAACTTCCGTCATAAAAGGCTACCCCATTTCATTAATTGATGAGGATGATGTCATATCCTCTGCTCAACAACCAGATTAAGATGCAGAACATCCCAAACCCTTAAACATGACATCGCTCTTAAAAATCTCTCAATATATGGGCTTGTTACGTTCAATTAGAGCTCTAGTTTAAGGGTCTGGTGTTTGGTGCTTGCAGTGCAGGTTGTGGAGTTAAGTGTTTGAGACTAGGGTGGTTTGGATAACCTGCAGTGGAAATGTGTAGAGCACAAAGCTGTCCCACTCACTTGTTGGGATATGTCATGGCTGTAGATTGATGCAAATCTGTGCATGTGTTACCAAAACAGTAGTTCCAGAGGGTTTTCATTCCACCTGAGTTATGCAATGCTTCTCGGAGACAGCTGTTGTCTCTGTTTTCCAGTTGCCAGTGTCGCATGTCGTTGACCCAAAGTGCTACTATTGTGCCAGACATGACGCATGAATCCTGTGCCGGGGTGGCTAGGGTCTAGGGGTGTGCTTGCTCCCAACATGCAGCTGCAAAATAACTAGTTGTCCAAGAGCCACATGTGGAAAGTGATCAAATTTCTAAAACAACTTCTTCAAAAGCCCTGTGGTGCAGAGGTGGAGTTTATCACAGGTGGGTGCATTGCTACAGTATAAATCTGTTTCGCTCAGGACCTCTGAATTCATTTGTCAGGATGCAGGTAGAAAAATACGGGCTACGTTTTTAAAAATAATTTTAACATTTTTCTTTTGATGGTTCTCCAAAATAGAAAGACAATTTAATCTTTTATGACATTATGACATTTTATGACATTCTCATTTCTATCTGGTGCAGGAGACTTGCAAGAGAATAAATGCTGTGCATCAGTAAACCGACTGGGATTCGTGATACTATAATAAGTTAAACTCTTTGGTGTCATGTTAGTCATTGCCTATTACTTGCCTTTATTGCAAGACCTTCTATTTCCTGTCGGACTGTTCAGTCTCAAATAACATCACTTATTAAACAAAATCAGATCAGTGTGCTGACAGCATTCCATAGTCAGAAGCCAGCATGATTCATCAAATCTGATCCGCAGTGTTCTCGCCGAGATCCGCTTGGATTGGAGAAATGCCGATCTGGTCTGGCGAAGCACTTAAAGTAGTAAAAAAAAGTTTATCGATTGGGCTCATTTGACAAGGCTATGCTGGACAGGCTGCATCGGGGTTCATTTTTTTTACTGTGCTGGACTCCGATATGCAGAAAAGTAAAAGTCAATTGCTTTATTGACGTGCTCTGTGTCATTTAAAAAAACCCCATTAAAAACACATGATGATTAGCTGGAGATCAGTGTGCTGGTCTTTCATCCCAGGTGGCCTGGAAGCAATGTTGCACAAAACATAAAAGATGTTATTTCCGAATGTGTGTGTGTGTAGATCATTGTTTAGTTAGTGTCTTGGGTGTGTCCTTCTGCATATGTTTTAGTCTACAAAACGTTAACCACAAATCATTGAACCACCCTAAGGGTGGTCCAACCACTATCTCTGCAGTAGTAGAAGTTGCAGATCCCTCATAGCTAATACCTTTCACCCCCTTGCGTAAAGATGTATGCTGTATTGTTGAACACTGTGGTAAGAACAGAGAACTGTGTGTTGTCGAACCATAGCAAAAAATATAGATTAAATGAGAGGTGCTGTAAACAATTAAATTAAATGCTGTGAAAACTGCTGTGCGAAGACACTATGGCATGGTGTCATCGGTAGCGTCTGGATCCTGATAGCTGTGCTGTGGCCCTTCTGATTTTGCTGCTCTGATTCAGTGGAGAAGCTGGTTCTTTTTCTCGTCTGTGCTGATGTTCTCTGCTTAGGGTCCAATCAGCTCTTCTTGGATTTAATTTCATGACATCTCCAGCCAGTCGGTTATCACCTGGTTTATTAGCGGCAGTAAGTCTTCCCAGTCTGTTTCTAAATCTAGTCTATAAATCTATTCTAGTCTGTAATCCAGCTTTCAGTTCC